CACTCTGTGGGACACCCTTGTGGGACGCTCTTGTGGGACACTCTTGTAGGACACTCTTGTGGGTCACTCTTGTAGGAAACTCTTGTGGGACACTCTTGTGGGACACTCTTGTAGCGCACTCTTGTGGGACACTCTTGTAGGACACTCTTGTGGGACACTCTTCTGGGACACTCTTGTAGGACACTCTTGTAGGACACTCTTGTGGGTCGCCAGTTCTCAGCTTCCAGCTCCACAGATTGCTCCGCGTACTAAAGTTGTACTACAAAGTCGCCAGTTCTCAGCTTCCAGCTCCACAGATTGCTCCGCGTACTAAAGTTGTACTACAAAGTCGCCAGTTCTCAGCTTCCAGCTCAACAGATTGCTCCGCGTACTAAAGTTGTACTATCAAGTCACCAGTTCTCATCTTCCAGCTCCCCAGATACCCCGCGTGCTAAAGTTGTACTACAAAGTCGCCAGTGCTCGCCTGCATTTCGCGCGCTCGACACGCACGATCTCCGCAGAGGGTTGCGCGGGCACGGGACAAATCGCACTCTCGCCTGCGTTTCGCGCACTCGACACGCACGATCTCCGCAGAGGGTTGCGCGCGCATGGGACAAATCGCACTCTCGCCTGCATTTCGCGCACTCGACACGCACGATCTCCGCAGAGGGTTGCGCGTCAAGTCTCCAAAACGAGCGTTTCGTACGAGACTTCCTCAAAAACTCACGAGACTTCCTCCAAAAGTCAAGCGGAAACACCCATCGGAGCACACACATCACGCAGCCCTGCCAAGCAGTTTCGCGATTCCAGCCCTCCAAACAACATCCGCTCACACGCCAATCCCAATGGGACAGCGACATTCACCTCTACCACAACTCACAACCTCACGATTCCCTGCGCCTGCCACGAGAATTGCACTTCCACGCTTCAAAGCCCGCACGAAGTCCTGCGCCTGCCACGAAAAGTGACAATATCATCGCATGTGAGCTTCAACAAAATTTGCACCACACCACACGTTTGGAATGATTTCGACCCGTTCAGAGCACACTCCCATCCATCAAAAACGCCATTTCAACTGAGACTTGTCACGAAAACAGAGCTTCGATGCCACGCCCTGAAACGCAAATCCCAATGGCGCGGCCACATCCAACACCCCAAAAACACGACTCTCCAAACGCTAATCCCAATGGAACTGCGCCGTAACCTGCGGATCTCACAAAACGCTGCGCCTGTGCAGCGAAGTGCATCACGTTTCTTGCGCGACATGTCCGTGTCACACAAATCACAATGGATTAGCGGCGCCAACTGACACGTGACACGTCCAGGCAAAGTCACTTGCAAAAGCTTCCCCCAATGGCAGCAAATTTGAGACGCGACGACGACGAGACGACGCAAGCCACGCGAACACAGCTCCAACCCCCAGACCCCCAACTATAAACGGGAACCCTTCGCTACGCATTCGGGAAAAAGAACTAGACGACGAGTGGCCCGAAAGCATTTTTCATCACGTAGGAAGTCAGAGTGCGAGTTATCTGTTAAGTGTGCAGTGTGAAGTGTTAAGTCGAGTGAGTTGAGGTAGTGTGTGTATCTATGTCCGTGTGTATATGAGTCTGCGTGTGTGTGTGTGTGTCCGAGTAAGTTGAGGCAGTGCGTGGGTGTCTGTGTGTGTGATGTGTCTGTATGAGTCCCTGTCTGTGTGTGTGTGTGTATGTCCATGTCTGCTGCTGGTGAAGGTCTTCACTGCAAACCCCCCACCGGCGGCCAAGCGGTGACACCCCAGCTCATCGTCGTGAGCATTTGACCTGCTGGTAACGCGAGAAGCAGCGTGCACGCCTCCAGGAAATCTCACCAGTTCTTGACCTCTCGCAAGTCACCTCCGCCTACTGGAGTTCTACTACCAAGTCGCCAGTTCTCATCTTCCAGCTCCCCAGATACTCCGCGTACTAAAGTTGCACTACCAAGTCACCAGTTCTCGTCTTCCAGCTCCCCAGATACTCCGCGTACTAATGTTGTACTACAAAGTCGCCAATTCTCATCTTCCAGCTCCCCAGATACTCCGCGTACTAAAGTTGTACTACCAAGTCGCCAGTTCTCATCTTCCAGCTCTCCAGATACTTCGCGCACTAAAGTTGTACTACCAAGTCGCCAGTTCTCATCTTCCAGCTCCCCAGACAGATACTCTGCGTACTAAAGTGTACTACAAAGTCGCCAGTTCTCAGCTTCCAGCTCCACAGATTGCTCCGCGTACTAGGGTTGTACTAGAAACTCGCCAGTTCTCAGCTTCCAGCTCCACAGATTGCTCCGCGCACTAAAGTTGTACTACAAAGTCACCAGTTCTCCTCTTCCCACTCCCCAGCTACTCCGCGTACTAAAGTTGTACTACCAAGTCGCCAGTTCTCAGCTTCCAGCTCCCCAGCTACTCCGCGTACTGAAGTTGCACTGCAAAGTCGCCAGTTCTCAGCTTCCAGCTCCACAGATTGCTCCGCGTACTAAAATTGTACTAGAGAGTCGCCAGTTCTCAGCTTCCAGCTCCCCAGCTACTCCGCGTACTACAGTTGTACTACAAGGTCAACAGTTCTCATCTTCCAGCTCGCCAGATACTCCGCGCACTAAAGTTGCACTACAAAGTCGCCAGTTCTCAGCTTCCAGCTCCCCAGATACTCCGCGTACTACAGTGATACTAAAAAGTACACCTCTCGCCTTCATTTCGCGCGCTCGACACGCCCGATCTCCGCAGAGGGTTGCGCGCGCACAGACTGAATCGCACTCTCGCCTGCATTTTGCGCACTCGACACGCACGATCTCCGCAGAGGGTTACGCGGGCAGCCGGCAAATCGCACTCTCGCCTGCATTTCGCGCACTCGACACGCACGATCTCCGCAGAGGGTTGCGCGCGCTCAGACCCAATCGCACTCTCGCCTGCACTTCGCGCACTCGACACGCACGATCTCCGCAGAGGGTTCCGCGCGCACCGCACCAATCGCACTCTCGCCTGCATTTCGCGCACTCGACACGCACGATCTCCGCAGAGGGTTGCGCTGGCACCGGACAAATCGCGCTCTCGCCTGCATTTCGCGCACTCGACACGCACGATCTCCGCAGAGGGTTGCGCGCGCACCGCACCAATCGCACTCTCGCCTGCATTTCGTGCACTCGACACGCACGATCTCCGCAGAGGGTTGCACTTTCGGTTGACGCTGTTCGTCCCACCCTCCGCCTTTAAGAGAGAATTTATAAAGTGGGGAAATGTTTTTTCATTAGGACATCTCCCGTGGTAGTTTTCCATACTCACACTTGCCTACTCATTGCATGCTTGCATACTCATTGCATGCTTGCATACTCATCACTTGCATACTTACACTTGCATACTTCCACTTGCATACTTTGACACTTGCACTTGGCTGCTTTCGCTCTTCGACTTACACTGGGGTACGTATAGCGTTCATGTTGTCGTGCAAGTGTGGTGAAAGTGTCAGTGTGTAAGTGTAAGTGTCGAAGTGTCAGTGTTCAAAGGATTTTCCGGAAGAACCCTTCGCAATGCTTTCGGGAACTAACACTTCGGGGGGGGTCCCAAAAAAGGCAAGCTCCCGACCTCTGGGGTGGTTCCAGCCAAAATCAGCCACGACCCACGGCCTTCTCATCTCTTTTCACTGCTGAGAGTCCGGACGACCGGATTCGCCTCCGGTAATTCGTCGATCGACTCATCGCCTGAGGAGCAGGGAGCAGGTCGCAGCGGGGCGTCGAGGTGGTGGTGTTGGGCGGTGGTGTTTTTTTCCAAGAGGGATCTCTTGTTGTGTCATGCGTTTCAAGAGCGATTTTGTTTTGTGTCATGCATGTCATGCTGCATTTCCATGAAAGCAAATCTAAATCATGGACCATGTTTGGTCCTTGGCCTGTGCATATGATCATGCAAGACACTCGATCTCAAAGGCCGCGGACATCTCAAGCACCGAAGCACCCCGCCTCCTTCATCTTGATCCTCATCCCTCAGACCATGCCGAGTAGGCGGACGAGAGCCAGCTGAAGATGCTGAGACAAGCCAGCTACTAATGGGGATGAGTCAAACACTGGGACCACCAAGACCATGTAGCTTGACCTTCCAGCTAGCTCAAAGAGGTCTCCTGGTCTGGTCTGGGAACCCCGCATGACACCACTACTATCGGATGGATGGAATGGAATGGATGGATCTTGCTTTGTTTCTTCTTGGTCCCTTGAGGCCGCGGCACACTTTCCAGCTCATCTTCATCCTCAGAATCCTCGGCTCTGAGGACTCTGCTGACTCTGCTGCTTGTGGAGAAAGAGCCTCCCTTCGTCCCAAGGCCAGGGCCAGAAAAGAGCCTGCAAGCGCTTGCCGCCGCGGAAGGCAGCTCAGGTGAGCAACAAGAATCGCCAATCCGTAAAAGAAATCCCGTAAAGGAGATACAATGCCCAGTGGATCCAGTCTATAGTAATTTAACCAATAGTCCGTAGTCACCTTTGGAGCTTGTTGGACGATAACTTGCATGGACTTGCTGCACTCACCCACTGCCAGACTCGTCCTGCCATAGACACCATCGGGCAGCTCGTTTTTTGGAATGCAAATCAAATGAACTTTGGACCAAATGCAAGGAACTGAAGTATATGAACACCTGCTGAGCACCTGTTGAACAGGGAACATTTGAGTTCATGTTGCTCCATCTTCCAGGTAACCACCAACCTCACCAACCTCACCAACCTCACCAACCTCACCAACCTCCAACATCTTCTTTTGGAAAAACACCCTTGTGACAAGCCCTTGTGCCTTTTGTATCCTGTCTCGTCCCCCTTCATTTCTCTTCCAGGTCCCCACAGCAATCTCCTCTACTCGCAGTCTCCCAAGCTCCGAGGTCTCCCGGGTCGCATCCTCCCCAACGACCGCCCCTCGCCTGCGAGGCTAAAGCGTCCCGAGGACCGGCGCCGCCTGCGGCACCACCTGCTGCGGACCGCGGTCGAACGGAGGTCTGTACCTGTTGGGAAGAACAGAGGACTGTACCGGTGCCTTTCGGTATTATGTGCCAGGTAAGGCTGTACACGACTTGGGGTAGCCCGGGAGGCCCTGTCTGATTCTGCTTGGACGCCCAGTTTTTGTTGGAGTCAATTCATTGACTCAATCTGCGCGTGATCGCCATGAATAGGAGGTGAAAGCTGGGAGGGAGAACTGGTAGAGCCGATAAGAGAGGTGTAGTTTATTATAATAAAGAAGAAGATTGATGAAGATTATAGATATTGTTTGGATGAGCTTTTGGGGGCCTGAGACTGCTGAAATTGTTGCTAAAAACATCTAAAAAACCACAGCTGGGGAGCAAACGCTGAAAAAACTGTGCGGCGAAATTTCACTGTTCAAAGGCACGGACCTGCAGATCTTGCTGGTGCGTTTCTGCACGAACAGCATGAGCGAAGAACATGTTTTCTGTACCAAAACCAGGGGGATTCTACAAGTAGTTGTGTCTAAAGTCTCTCTCTTGTTTGTTTCTTGGTGGCACTGAAAAAATGTTTTTGTGGACTGAAAAAGTCTCCTTTTTGGCACTGATCATTGTCAATGGTCAAGTGTAATCTGTTTTCCTTTGTTAGTTCTTCCCTAAGTTTGTTCTAGAAAAAGTCACTTAGAAACATTAGCTGGACTAAAAGAATTGAAATTGGGTTGAAAGGTCAGGGTGATGCTGAGATAGCGTCAGAGTAACCCTGATGCTGTGATAGCGCCTATCTGATAGGGCTGGGTGCCTGCCCTTTAAAGCACAAAGCATGATCTGCTGGTTTTTTGCAACACAGAGCTTTGTTTCAGATGAAATGATGCTGTCTCAAGGACCTTGCGAACACCTGCAGAGCCATTGAACACACCAATCCACCGTCATCCACTCCGCAGGAAAGGAAAGGGACCGGACACGCAAACTGTCCGTCTTCCAGGAGTCTGTTTCCTTCAGCAGACCGGCTGATCAAGCGCAAATCGGCCTGCGGAAGAGATCGATGACAATGTACACAATGGCAAGGCCTCTCCCAGGGACTTTTTGACGTCGTTTTTCCGAGAAAGACTGCGCCGAGCGACGGACCTCCACGCCGTCCACGCCTCATCTTTCAACCGGAGTGACCAGCGCGGTCAGACCGACCGATCAGACCGCGCTGGTGTCCACGCAAAAAAGAACACAAAACGCTGGGCCCGTGGATCTTAATTCATGTGGAATGTGAGGTGACAACGGGGCACCCACTTGGGCACCCCAATGAGTTCTTCTTCCTCCGTCCGTTCGGCACCGGCACCTAGTCGGAACCGGTGACCCACCGCTGATGCTCTCCCCACGGTTCGCCCCGGCCTATGAGGACCACGTGTGCCACGGCCTCGAGACCGCGTGGGGTCCGGCTTCAGGACGACGGGTTGCTTCATGGGTCAAGAACTTGAAGCGTTTGGCCTGGAAAGCCTCTAATATATGTGGGGTTGTTTAATCAAGAGTCCACATCACTGGGCTTGGGCTATCTCCAACATGTACTTAGTTATACTTATACTTATAGTTTCTGATATTTTGGGCCCCGTGAAAGGATGCGTCTCGATGCGTCTCGGCCAACGGTGTGTCTCGATCAGAATTTCAGCACCCGAAGCGCAAGAGTGGTGCCGAGCCGAGAACGCCAGGTGTGTTCCTCATGATGACTCAGAAACAGAACTTCCAAAAGGTCGACCTAGCAAGTCTTCTACAGATGTGCAACACAAACAGGATGATCCACCCTGTATAAAGTACAAACCTCGTGATTTTCACCATTCATTGCCTGGCATGCAAAACAAGTGGCCTCCTACGTCTCTGAACCTGTTGGATGGGAAACTGTTAAAAGCATGTGCTTCGGGTCGGTATATGTGAGAAATGTGGAGCAACACGTCTTCACACGCTCTTTCTTGCATGGTTTGAACACTACGGCTTTTTTGACCCAACTCTGTAAAACCCCTCTCAGCGCCGGGCAAAAAGGAACAAGATGTTCATCTCACTCATCTCGCTGTGCACCGCGTCCTGTCAATGAACATCGACTCCGACTCCGTCGTTGGTTGCATTGCAGAGCTGAACATTCCGGGCAATGGCGGGCTCCGTTGGATTACTGTAACACCTTGATGGCTGGTAGGTGGCTGCTTTGGTGGCAAATACAGGTTCTTTTGGTGCCCCCCCAAGGCAATCTCTCCCACTGTGCAATGGTTGGTCGTGCTTGCTTGCTTGCTTGCAAGGGCTCGCTCTCTGGTCCGTGTCTCACTCAAGTAAACACCTTTCTCAAGAATAGTGATAATCTGTTGTTGACTCTCACAGGTCATAAGACAGGTATAACATGTCACAACATCCAAAGACCCCAAGACTTCTGGGTGGTCTAGTCCACAACGCCCCTGATCATCCACCACAACGCCCAGGTTTATCAGGACCCTATCCCCTTCGACTATCCCAGTTGAGCCCAGGTGACGGCTGCCGTTCCAAGGTTCGCCCAAGGTCCGTGGGGCTCCCGACGGTGGTGTTGCCCCCAGGGTGGGCCAGCCGCGCCTGGGACTGAGTCGACTCCGTCCCCACAGAGGTGCAGGAGACGGTGCAGGAGACGTCTTGAAAAAGAGCTCGAATCGAGGCTCGAAAGCCAAAGATGCGGTCATGACTGGTCATACAGAGATCTTTCTGGTGTGGCAGTGTGGACGGATTTTTGGATTACCCCCGTGCTCTTCCGGTATGATCTTTGATGTAATGCAGAAAAATGCCCTAACCGGGAATTCTTTGGTGAAACGACACCCGCAGCATGAAGCAACTGTTCGATGAACACTTTCCAAGATGGCTCAGGCCAATCTTAAGAGCCTAACACTGACTGAATGCCTTGGCTTCCTACAGCTTCCTGGCTTCAAGATCACTCAGCGACCACCCACATCACGCTCAGGAGAAGGTGAAAGGGGATTGATTAGGCCTCTGCCGTTGAAGTAAGTAGCAGGGTGCCCTGCTTTGAACGTCAGGTTCTGGCGCATATATTGTGAGGGTTCCGGTAGGGGGGAACCCTCTCGGGTTCCGGCGCTAAGTGCATCAGCAAGACTCTCATCACTGGCTAAAAGGAAGCCAAAGTAGCAGTTGCTGGCCTTGGCTGGAGTTAACGTCTCGAAACCCTCTAGAGCTCAGTGTTTCATGTAGGACCGTGTGTCTCCCTCCCCCCTTAAAAAAGTTCCGCGGACATTATTTCTGCATAAATTATTCCAGGAACCCACGGGGCCGGTGGAATTGGGCCATGTCTCATATCTATCAGTCAGCCCTTCTTCATCGACTTTTGCAGCCCTGGATGGTATCCGATAGATGGCGAATGCGAAGCGGAGTCCCGTTTGGAGTCGATCGTTGGTGCTCTACGAAGACGTCGAACGCCATTCTCCTCCCATTCTTGCGGCCAGTTGGGCCCCCCAGCTGTGATGATGCAAACCAAGACTACCTCACCACAAGCGCGTGCTACGCACGGATACAACACGCGAGCTGCGCGCGAGCTCTGCGCCAGCCGCTCCTTTTGGTGTCCCCAACGGTGTCCCAACGCCAACGCCAACGGTGTCCTAGAATCCCGCCGGGAGAGCCAAAGCAGATTGACCATGTTCTCGAATAAAGTTCCAACTACCGCTGCCACAACCCCGCCACAGCTTTCGCTCAGGCTATTCTGCTCTGTCATGTTCCCCTTTCTGCTCTTTCATCTTCTACTTGGACACGTCTACCGTCTACTTGTTCCCTTGTCCAAGTGCATTTCGGCATGTCTTTCTTCCGTTGTCTCTGGGCAGCCCCGGCGGACGGCACCAGTAAAGGGCCAAACTCCCGTTGTATCTGACGAGGCGCATCCTGCTGAGCGAGCAGAGACCGGCACATCTTGGGGCATGTCTTTTAAATGGGGGTCGACAAAGAAGAACAGCAGTGCTCCAAAGCAAGAGTGGTTTTCAAGACATTGAAACAGGTATTCGAGGTGAAAGAACTTCGCTGTTTCTACAGGTGGGTTCGTGTAAAACATCGACCACCCAGACCGGACCGGTCTCCTCAAGCTTCAAATTGTAGAGCGAGGTTTCCAGCGCCTCCACCAGTCCTGGCGACCGTGTCCGAGGGCGCAAAGCGAGCGGCAGAAGCGACGGAAGCGGAAGCGGAAGCTGCGGCGGCGGCATGACCGCGGTACTCTGTCTGGAAAAAAGGACATGAAAAAGAACTACCTACAGTACCAGGGATAGAGTCCGATAGAGCTAGATTGCTCTGCCGAGGGCAGAGCTTGAAATCACGTGACTTCCGAAGTTAGCCGAAGGTTCTCATCCATCAATGAGGACTAGTGACTAGCATGAGGTATTTCCCTGCTTGTCATCTTGCGATTCACCGACAAATTTCCTCGATTGTCTTCTCCCACTAGCCATTCCTTCATTGGGAGCTCCTCAATTTCGGTCTGTTCACCACATGGCCAAAGAACCACTCTTAGAACCTGTGAAAAGGAGGTTTCTTTCGCAGAAAGAAAGCAAGAAAGACAGAAAGAAAGAAACCCCACGAAAATTATTTTCCCACTCTCCCCCCCGTAATTCATACGCAAGAAAGGGAGGAGACCTGAGATCTTCTGCAAAAAAAAGGACTCCATGACTCCATGATCACCTCAGCCCATGATCACCCCTCACCTGTGACCCCGAACCAAGCCCCACCACCCCGGCCCAACCCTCCCGCCAACCCACGTGCCAACGAAACCCCGCACCTGCGAAGTGTTCAAAGCTGGAGGTGAAGTAGTCGTAGAGCACTTGGCTTTGATCCGCCATGGATTCTCCGAGCCCGTCGATCAGCGACGTGGTCACCTGGCGGTCCGCAAAAACGAACCGGAACGGTCAGGGAGAACGGCCCGGGAGCGGATCGGTGGTGGAATAGGCATGGAAAGGGAGACTGTCTTGTTTTTCGTGGAGATGTGCACTTTGCAAGTGGGATAGGACTGATTTCTATAGAGATTCAATAGAGATAGGAGGTGAACAACAACGATTCCATCATCTTCAAACTCTCTTGCGGATGAATGCCAGCATGGTGTGAGGAAAAAGGATATAACTTTAAAGAATGGCTTGAACCGGCAGTGAATATGCAGTAAGTGGTTATATAAGTCTTCAACTCACGGCTTCCATTCCGACTCAACGGCGCCCAGCGGCCCGACACCCCCACCTCGGCTTGGCGGCCAAGCGCCATGCGTTGCGCCTGCGATGGTGGGTAGGCGACGTGGGGCCTCTTCGTGCGTCGTCAAAGAAAGGTGGGGAATAGACATGAATAGACCAACAACCCCGTTTCGAGACACGCCTCCCGCCATGACCGCAGGCGAGGCGCTCACGGCTCTCTCTCGCTTCGACGACGCATGACGCGTGATACGTGGCTCGATGCGCGGCCTGCACCGTGTCCATGTACTGGCTGACCTCGAGCCGTCGCTCCGAACGCACCGAGTCCAACAGCTCCGAAGATGGCCGCCAGAGAAGACGGACTGATGGGACCTGGACCCTTCTTGTGACCTCTTCTTTTTTAGACCATCAACCATATCAACCATCCAAAATATGGATATGATGGTTTTCCTATCAAAATCGTCCAAAAAAGAGGTCAAATGGGTTCCATTGCCTTTCCTAGAGTCAAAGAAGAACCTCCTCTGCCATCCCTTCGGCTATTCGGTGCGGCCGAAGACGGTACTACCTATTGGGTCGCTGTAGCAGACAGCACAACAGCAAAAATGGCCTGCCCTGTGAAATCCATGCTCATCTTATATGTGCCCTGTTCTTTTGTGAGCGCACATGATCAAAGCCAGTAGGCAAGCTTGCGACAGCAACTGTGATATTGCCTCCAAACGCTGAAAACATCCAAATGCTGACGAGCTGGTCACAGACACAGACAAAGGTTTGGTGATACAAAACCCCAAAACCTTTGTCTGCAACACCTCGCCGCCACGAGCGCGACGCACCACGCTCGCGGGCCACGGGTTCGTCGCCTTGGCCATTTTCTTCTCGATCCCTCCGATGGACGACGTGGTGGCTTCGAACTCGGTCAGCACCTGGTGGCTTCGGAGTTCGCATGAGGGAGCCCAGTTTCTGGGGAGGTGAGGCGAGTGGACGCGGGGAGGGTGCTATATTATATAATATGCCATGGTGCCATGCGGGATGTTCATGGATGTTCAATGTGGGGCGATCACTTGCAGAAAACGCGAACACTGAGGCTCCCAACTTCGTCCACCTGACAGTCAGTGAGTCAGTGCGGGCCATATTCTACAGTTGGGCCACGGCATTCAGCAGAAGAAACACTTTCAAAGTCCTGGCAACAGTGGATGAAAGTGGGTGAGGCTCCACTGAGAAAGGATTCCACCCCTTTTACTGATTTTGCGAGCTTGCAAAACCATACTTTTATGGGTCGGTACCTTTTCTCGCTCTGCGCACGGTCGGTGCAGACACGTTGCTGACGCTACCGATACTGGATGAACCACACTCGCTCACACGGGCGGCCGAACCCCGCGCCACACGCGCGGAGCCGACCGCGCGGAGCCGACCGCGGGTCCTTCGACCGCGTGCGATCGGTGCGACCGGGGCAAGTCGACCGGTCGAAGCGCCAGAACAGCTCGGTTTGAGCTCCACAACTCTCCACCAGCTCCACCAGCTCAGGCGGAGAGAAGGAACTGAGAGAACCATGGATGAAGCCGATCGGCTCCGCAGCGACGATCGGCTCCGCGACGCTGCAGCGTCACAAGGGTCTCGAACGTGCTGAAACACGATGTAGCCCATACGAGACTCAGCAACACACACCCTCATACCATCGCGCCAGGCGTTGGTGCTGCTCAAATACTACATCCTGATCATAGACTCATCGCCGCAGCTTATAAGTAGGTGCTGTTCAAACAGTTTTTCAGACATAGGTGCTTGGTCTGTGCACTGGCTCCGACCCAGCGTGCTCCGAACCTGACCCAACGGACCAAAACCATCACCCTGGCGTCTGAACCCGCACCCACACCGGCGCCGTTTACGGCAGTAAAGGAACACGAAAAGAACAGCCTCCCCAAACGCTGGTTGGTTTGGTGGGGCTGAAAATCGGATGAAGTTCATCACCTTCTTCCATGGGAAGGGTCCAATGTCGGGCCGGACAGGTTAGCTTCTTCGTTCGCAGCACGCGCTGAAGGAGGTGTGACAACAGTGCGGTTGTTAGAATTACCGTTTACAGCCCAAACAACAATTTGGACTTGATCATGCTACTGCAAACAATTAGCTGACCTGGCGTACCTGGCGCACCTCGCACCGTATTTCATACGCATGCATCCGCCGCAATGCCGGCAACCGTCGCAGCAATTCGATGCTCCACTTCTGAACGGATGACCTTGCTTCCTCGATCTTCAATTGCGGAAAGGGATACCATCTAGGAACCGAACTGTATGTCGGAGCATTCATTCATAGTCTGCAGCATGAGCCTCCCATGCTCATCTTCGTGCTGCATCGATTCTTGATCCTCTTTGGACCAGCCTTCCAGGCCTTCCCTCCCTTTCACACCAACCAACATCGGTCCCCCAACGGAGCTCGCTCGCCCGCGAGCCGGCTTCGCTGCCAAGCCCCGCGCTCGCCTGCTCCCGGTCCATCGAGTGGCCTGGAAGGGGCGGCGCGGCGCTGACGGCGACGGCGGCGGCAGGGGGGGTCGGATAGACCTCCGATACATGAATCAAGAAGAATTGAAAGTCGGTCCTGACAATGAAGAATCAACATGAAGGAGTAAGATGGAGTGAGGGGGGTTGAATAACTTAATAGGAGTTCTTTGATGTTGACCGACTCTTCATGAGGTGTCTACAACACACGGGCCGGCACCGTCCTTTTCATGTTGGACACACTGCCGCAACACTCCATTGGGGGCGAAGATGGAAATCCATTTTTCTAGGTTGAGTGTGGTAGCTAGGTTCCCTTGGCACCACCAGGTAGAAGCCACCTAGCTAGGTAGAAGAATGCTAGGTTACCTAGTATTGCCTAGCTAGGTGGTAGAAGAAAGAAAACTAAACTAAGAAATTGCTTCGACAGCCCCTGAGGACCCGCGCTGACTCCCATCTTGGAAGACCATGAGCACCGGTGTGAAAACCAAGCACCGATGAATGGAAGAGGAGCGAGAGAAGGAGAGCGATGCTTTTCGTTGAAACCTCGAAGGCTGTTGTTATCAGCTTTATTCAATACACAAGGCTCCCATCGGCTTGCCAATTGCTGTTGGCTGTTGGTGTTGCCCTGTTTTGTTTGAAGAAGAGGGTCTGGCGGTTCGGAAGTTGCGATATGGCCACCCCTCAGTTCTTCTTGCGAGCATTCGTATCATACTAATGTTTTGTATATACAGTTGTAGAAAGGGCTCCGGAATCAGCCGCACATGAGAATCATGAGATACAGTGTTTACATGTCGTTTACAGCATCAAATCCTGTTCATCAAATCTTCAGCCTTGTTCATCCTTGTTCAACGCTTACTCAATTCTTCAACCTGCGCCTTCAAACCCGCTCTACGAAAAAATGAGCAAAAGCATACGTAGACGTAGTTCGGACCGTACAAGGGGGACGCCGTATTTTAGGCCAGGAACATCACAGAGCAAAGCCTGCACGGTCACTTCCCACAGCTGTGCACTTGAACTTTCCTGGTCTGAAAACGTTGCCAGCATGAGGCAGCACATCATTATTCACAAAGCATCGGATGGGTGATATATCGGAATGCGAGATGGGAACATGATGCTGGGCCAGCAAGGTGGGTGATCACGGAAGAATCCAGCGTGCCTCACCAGAATCATGCCGGGCAATTAAACATTCACCAATTTCTTCATGCACGTCATCGAATTGGCTGCAGTTTCTGCATGTTCGGTCACAAGATCAATTCGTTTTCTGCACAGCGGCAGTTCCCCCCCTCACCCTCACGCAAACCACTCTGGCTCTGGGCCTGTCGCGTCTGGTCATCGACCCACCGAGGTCTGTGTCTGTTCATGGGAAACCGCGGCGGCGCGGCGGATCTCATGTAACGAGCGATTCAGCAACTTTAGAATATATGCTGCATCACAACATGCTGAAAGGCTTTGGCAGACAGAACACCCATGGGGTCATGCCTTTTCTTCCGGTGCAAAAGGCCTAAGAGCGAGAAAACACCTCCCGCTGCACACCTGCGATGCTGCAGATCCTTCGATCCTTCTTTCCCTTCCGACCCAACTGGCCAGGTTGACCCAACTGCCACGCCATCTCAACGGCCGTGATGTAAAGACAGCCAGCCTTGCCACCCGACGGCGTCCGACGGCGTCCGATGGCCGATGCGAGTGACGATGGCCGTGCGGGCGCAGGTCGATGGAGCGGAGCGCCATGCTCTGCTTGGGTCCCAAGACATCCCAAGAGTCCCAAGAGAATCCAAAAGAAGCCAACAAAAGAAAGGACAGATGGCATTGGGGTTCATTCCAAGTAGATTCCTCTCTTTCATTGGCATTGCGTTGACTTCTGATCCCCCCCGGCACACCCGTCTATCTGACGACCGCTCTCTTAGACAGCTCCTGGGCCTCCGGGCTGCCACTACAGCCACGGTGACGCCATGCCTCCGTGCCAGGCATAGTAAGCTGGATCCGTGGCGCAGGAAGGCCTCCGCGCCTCGGCGGAGAGGCCGAGGCCACCGGCCGAACCCTCTGGTCTTCGGGTCCGGTGTCCAGCTCGCCCGGCTGGACACCGTGAAGAAGCGAAGCGGGACGTCCGCTCCAAGCGTCACAGGCTGGACGTCGCTGGACGTCCGGTGAATCGAGATGTTCATCATAAATGATTTAAAAAAAATGCATGTTCGCTTGTCACACAGAGATTTCTGTTGAAGCTCCCACCGGTGGAAACTTCAAAAGCGAAAATGAAGGGAAACCTTTGCGCATTCCATGAACTGGGCCTTGGATGGTTGCGGAATATTGGAATATTCTACAGTATAAAAGTCTAGAAATATCTGTAAATAAGATGAATAAACCAGGTGCCAGGTGAAATCATCTGAACCCTGAAACCGGAGATGGATTTTCTTGGTCACGCGAAATCACGTCAACGACTCGTGGTCGGTCTCGCCATGGTCTCCTGGTGTCCCCTGTCCCCGGTTCATCTCAATCAAAACAAGAGAACGGTGAGAAGGTCGCTGGAAAAAAGAAACGGACAAAATCCGAAGGATCCCAGTCGGTGAGTCGGTGAGGTCCTCCGTTTCTGGGCGACGCCAAGTTCCCTCTCCCAAACGCCATTTAACGGGACTCGGGCGAGCGAAGTCCCATCTGCTTTGATCGCCTTCATGTGAGTCACCTCATCGAGGGACACCAGGCAACATGGGTCTCTTCGTATGCCAGACCCAGTCGCACCGGGGTGGACCGGGGAAGTGGCACTGTCTTAGGAGTCTTCACAACCAAGCGCAACGTGCTCACATCGATGGAAGCAAGCGTTCAAAGAAAATCCCACTCCACCGCTCCCTCCAGTGTCCGAGAACGGCGCAAAAACGACGCACAAAAGCCACGCGTTTTGTGATGTTTTTTGGTTCTTCAACTTGCCCACTCAAGTTCTCCCACGCCTCCAACTGGTCTCACCCATTTTGCTCACGCTCTCCAGCCTCGTCTTGGCGCCTCGCCACTCGTCTCGCTCGTCTCCAACGGCACGCGCGGGCTCTGCCTGGCACCGCGTGACATGCAAAACACTGCAAGAAGTAGAAGTAGTCAGTAGTAAGTAGCAGGTAGCAGGTAGTAGGTAATGGTAGTAGGTAGTGGGTAGTGGGTAGCAATCAGAGCATCTCAGTCACCAAGGTCACCTCCACAAACAAATACAATGTTAACAAACGTTTCAAGGCCGAACTCGAGGGTCCAAGGGCCGCTCCAAAGGGATGTCTATCAATAGCCCCTTCGAAGTAAACGGGTGTCCATTAACCCTGGCTCCGGTCTCTGCCAGCCTCAGCATGGAGGGAGCTGGCGATGGCGACGGCGTGAGCTCCGTCTGCTTGGCTACCTCTGGGCAGTGGCTGGACGTCGTGCCGAAATGTCCCAGAAGGATCCGAGCCACACATCTTTCAGTCTTTTTCTATTGTCAGTTCCAGGTGAAGGTGGAGAAAGCCCCAGACCTGACCCGCCTAAAACAACAATCTCCAACCATCCATCCCCGCATGGCAAAGGACATCCGGAGAAACACACCTCCTCGAGACATCCCGATGCGGGCATCGGTCTGTGTTGGATGCTTCGGAACGTCGGTCGACCGTCGGGCACAGCGTGCGGGCACAGCGTGCCGGGGGCCTCCTCCAACTTCTCTGCCACAGCGCGGGCAAGGCCAACATTCGCCTGATTCATCTGAGTCGGGCTGGGGGACTAACAAGTGACTTTGCTCGGCAGGCATGGCTCCCCTGTGGCTGGGGTCCATCTCCTTTTGGCATCAAAGTGGCTTGAAATGACATCCAACTTTGGTAATTATACTATATTCATCTATATTCTAATGTGACTTGTGAGTGGCATCTTGCGTGTGACTCCATTAGTTGGGGTTCCTTCCCCATGCCAATGCACTTCTTCAAGTTGCATCCATTAAGAGCCCTAGAAGAAACATAAATATCGGTAGATGAAACCGCCTCACCTTAATTATGGGTTTAAGGTCCCATTGTCTAACTTGAGTGGCGAAGTATGGCGAAGTATGCGAAGTGGGTGCCTCTTCTCCTATATTCCTCTTCATCCACACCTGCCTGCCCCATCCGTCCTCCACAGCTCCCGCCTTCCCACTCGGCGCTCGCTCCGCGCCCCGCCCGGTCGCCGGCGCCAGGATCGGCGCGGCGGGCGCCTCCACGGCGCACGTCTGGGGTCGCCGGCTCTCGGAGCCCGCCGAGCCCGGCTCTGGGAGCTCCGCGGCCGCGGCCGGCGACGTCGAGCGGCTCGGCCGGTCCGTGGGGTGCGCCCCGTCGGCCGGGCAGGGCGCCGGTCCCGCGGCGTCCGCGTCCGGCGGCGAGGCTTCGGAGGCTCCGACGGAGGAGAAGGTGGACTCCTGGGGATGAAGGATGAAGAAAGCGCCTTCAAGCGCGAGCTACGAAGGTTTTGTTGTTGTTTGCGTGTACGAGCGATGTTTGGGTGATGCTCAATCTGAGAGAGGATTATAAGTGCGTGGGAGAATGAAAGGAGTCGAAAGTGTCTTCGTATTGTGTAGCAGCTTGGCACATATACAATAAACACTCCGTCCCTTCTATACAGTACAAGAAAAAGGTCTTCCAAGACTGGTTCTTCAAAGTGACCTTTTGATATCCTGGTTTGAGGTCACTTGGGCCTGTACAAGGTCAATGTCCGACTCAACAAAATCGCTCTTTGAAGAAGCTGGACTTTGGGTTTTGTATGGTGTGGTCCTTTGTTCGGAGGCAGCCATCCCTTCTAAGGCCTCGCTACGGAACAACCTGGCGGTAGCTCAAAGTAAGTGCATGTGTAACCAAGCTGGACATCTTAAACGTCTCCAAATACCACAGACCAGCCAGCCTCTCACCATCATCTCTCACCAGTTTCCCACCCCTTCGTCAAGCCCTCCATCAGCCCTTCTTCTTCACTCCTCCTGGAGCGAGGACGGCTGCCCGGCGCCCCGGGCCGCCAGCTTCCCCGCCAGGCGCGCGGCCGCCGCCAGCGCCGAGGCATCGGTGAGCTCGTCCTATGCGCGGTGGGAGCTCCACTGATGGCTCCAAAACGAAGGAGTACTCAGCATACAGTGTTTATTTGTTGGAGGGTTAGAGGGTTCACTGGACCACCTACGGGTTCTTTGGTCCAAAACCCGAAACACATTGACCAATTCTTCACACTTGACCTTTGAACATGTTTGCAGCTTTTTGCCCCGATGACCCCCCGGCGGCACTTTGTTGGGTTGACCGTCATTGCCAGCTTCTCTTGTTGAAACCAACGATCGCCTCGCCCCAACGGCACTCCTCAGAGATCGCTTCCAGCACGGAAGGCCTCAACGTCAAGCCACGCAGGAGTCAGCGATAGTCAGCGACCGGGTTGTGAGGGTGGGATGGGCCAATATGTTTACTGTTGTTCATCAATGGTATCGGCTATCCTTTTATCTGCACTAAAAGTCTTGATGGATGTTGATGGCCATTACTTTATGATTTGATTGTTAAGGAGCTTTCTACATTATTGTATATCTTCAGGAAATGTCCTCGTAGAACTAGTATATAGCAGTAATGTGTTTCTGTCTCCTTCATTAACATGTTCATCAAGTGATAACATAAGAAAGTAAAATAGATTGATGACAACTTTTTTCTAGCGGTTCATATTTTAGCTCCTGCCTGCAAGATCCTCTCAAAGAGATCAACCTGACCGAAAAAGGCCTTGGCATCCTTGAAGACTTACCCTGGACAGCCAAAGAAAACCAAAAAGAAATCCGTCGCCACTCTCCTTTCAGTCACAGTCAAAGGTAACAGGTCTGGAGATTGACTTTTCCAGTTACTGTTCATTGATTCCAAGCCCAAAGATCCGGATGATGATGTTCAGGGACTTCCGGAGGTGTCCCCAAGGGAGTCCCAAGACACCAATCACATGCGCTTCTCCGTAGGAGAAGCGGAAGGGCTGGGCTTCCGGAAGGGCTGGGATCTCCAGTTCCATCCTGCTCTAAAAAAGGTGGTTCACGGGGGTCACCCCCGTATCATCCTCTATCAGATGTCAAAGGCATATGATGCATCTGCCAATAATGTCGCTGGCGCAACCACACCCGAAGATGCGCCTATCCCAAAGAGGAAAAAGAAAACAATAACATCTTTCTATAAAGGGCCCTTGGTAGATGTTCTATGATGTTCTAGAATGAAGAAAAGACCCGGTGGCGACTCCGTCTCCGCCCCGCACAGCGCGGCGCTCCGAACGCACGAACTCCGCCGGGCGCCCCTCACGGCCGCTCGGTGGAGCCCCGCATTTGATCGGCACCTGGAGCTGAAGGCGAAGGACGGGGTCAGTAGATGGTAAGGCAGTCCCCAAATTTCCTGCCACGGATTTGGAGCATGTTCCGGGCTGCCTCTGGAAAGTCTATGGTCCTGGCGCTTGGGACATGCACTGACATGGGTCAATGATCCACTCCCCTCCGCCGCAGCGATCCGCTGGGCTGTTGGAAGGCCCACGAACCGTGCGAGCTGAGGTCAGAACCTTTTCGCAGGAGCTCCTGAGGCGAGAGTGGCCCGGCGACGGGAGGTAAGGCGTTTCAAACCGAGACGTCCGACGTTGGAGGGCGATCGAAACAGCTTCACGCACAGAGACGGGGGACACACATGAGGTTCCACGGCCCTTCTCACGTGACTCTGCTCCTGCTGAACTCCTGAACGGACGTGCTTGGCCAACTCCGGACCCCATGGCCAACACCCCGGCGCTCCTCTGAGAAGCCCGTGGGAGAAGCTTCATCGGTGAAGCTCAAGGACGCCTGGAACCACGGCCCGGCCGCAGCCGACAAAGCGGCCCCACAAAGCCGGGACCGGGGACACACGCGTCGCCAAAGGATGGATTGCAAAAAAAGGTTGCTCCCCCCAGACCGTTTCGAGGGAAGGGCGGAATTGCCTTTTTCGAGATCAATTACTTGACCTTTTCATGCCTTTTCTATCAGCTGTTTGTCACTCACTACAGTACCTTACCAGCACCTTTCAAAGTCAAAGGGTGGTTATTAGATGGAAAATAGATACAGGGCCTTGCAGGGGGGTCTACTGGTGCTAGTACAGTACAGTGTACTACAGTGTGATTCATTCAGAAGACTTCGACTCGCCGAAGAACGAAAACGCTGCTCCGGACCTCTTCCAGCGAAGGTCGGGCCTGTCGTAGAGGAGGTGAGGTCTCCAATCTTTCGGTGAGTTCAATTTGGATGGATTTGGGTGCAGTTTGGGGTGCAGGGACTTTCTGGAAGTTGCAAAACAAGGCTTCCGTTCACCCTCCGCTGCATGCGCTGCGATGTGACAATCTGACATGGCATCGCTGGTTTGGCCTCCAGGGCAGATCGAAGCAGGGTGTCCAGGCCGTTGCTTGGGGCACAGCTGGCGCCTCACGTGTGGCGCAGTTCGGCTGAAAAAGAGACCAGTCGACTGAAGCTCGGTCGAAAATCCTTCAAGAACCGAGATCTCAGAAACAAGTTTGCTTTAGTGATCCTGCAGTGGTGTGTGGCAGAAAAGTTGCTGCCCACAGAAACAGAACACCCAACGGCCTCCAAAGCGATAGATCTTCAGACCCCCGTCCCTTTTTGATACATCATACATCAATTGAATTTAATCCAAATCCATCATCAACATCACTTTCTGAACCAAATTCCAACGTCTTCTTCCATTTCCAGACCCCCCTCCCGCCTGACCCCACGTGACTCAAAGTTCCAGTGCCGGGACCGTCCTCTTTGGGCACCGAGCGCGCCTGGAGAGGCAGCATGGGGGCTCCAAAAATGGGGGCGCCATGCAGATGGACGTTTTGGTGCGGAGCATGGGTTGAAGTGCGCAAGGTGCACGGAGCAAGTGCATCTCCGTTCGCCCTCCGTTCATGCCCGAAGTCTCAGAGTCTCCCAGCCTGGATTCTGGGGAGCAAAGCGACCTTGGCCTCTGGAAAGGTGGCTTTGAAGTGCTTCTGCACCTCGCTGTCACCTCTCACAGGAGACTCCATGTCGCGAAATACCAAAACTAGCTGATTATCTTTTTACTATCTTTTACTCATAATACACTATAGTCCCTAAACTTACTAATATAGGTGGCTTGGTGGAAAAGGAGGCTCCACCGCTTACTTCAACCCTACTTACTTCCTTCACATGATTTTGGGCTCCAACCTGTTATCTATGTCCTTCCTTTCGCTTTGCTCCGAGCAGGCGCCTGCTCGGCTTGTTGCTCCGCTCGCTGCGCTCCGTGCGGCCCCCGCGGCACGGCTGGACAGAGGCAGAGGCCAGTCCTGAGGGTGATCCACGACCACTTGGCTAGTGTAAATGGAAGAAGGAGATGCCACAATGCACAGCCACTGGGTTTTTTTGCGAAGAATATAATCTTCTCATCTTCCTATTTTGGAGTCAATCACCCACTTCAAGACTTGCAAATCAGCGGTCTGCCGGGTGAACTTCGGTCCCCATATTTTGGATGGACGTTGGCGCGTTTCAAAACACAAAATTGGATGTTGGCAAGCTCTGTATGGAATATACAATGTGGAAATATGTGGAATCTGGATTGATCAACCCCCGCAAACATGGACTGTGAAACCTCTTCAGGCCTGGGGGGGTTCTCAATCCAGATTCTACAGCATAGTGACGGAACAAGACAATGGGCATCGCAATCACTCGCGATCATCATAGTGACTCTGAAATATCAAGAGAGGAAGGGGGCCTGCCCTTTCCTTCGGCCGGTGTTCATCACTTAAGGCTGCCCTTTCCTTACTTTCACCATTCTGACAGGGAGTGGGGGGCAACCCAGACCAAGGGGCCCGCCAAATCCGCCCGAAGCCACGGAAAAGCACGTGGAGAACGGAACCGCGCTCCGTTGCGCGGAGGGGCAAAGTCCATGTGACCACGTGACGGGGCGAAGTGTTTGGGACGCGGCGTCGCAGAAGGCTTAGCCCACCACCGCAGCCAGTTCTGCACAAAGGCTGGGCGAGAACCTCAAAACGGGATCCTTTCTGCCACCACAGACTGCATCTGTCCAGATCTAGATGTGCCGATGTGGAGATAAAGCCCGGACACAGCTCTTCGTGCAAATCTACACTACACTTCCATGCTGTTCTCGTTCGACTCGAGTCAACCCAATCTGTTGGGTCTACCTATCCCATTACATTACAGTACCAGTTCTCCAAAACCAAAATAGGCACTGTAGGATCTATCTAGTCTGTGATGGAAATGGAGCTGCAGTTCTCTAATAGTGATAGGTCATGGGACAGACTCACCCAAGGAATCTATATATAGAACATCCATCTTAGAGCTGCACACTGCACGGTGGGGCACGGTCACATCTGCCTGACAAGAACCAGCTGGTGATCAAAACCTCCAGCGTTTTGTGCTGCATTTCACGACTCTACCTGGCAGTGCCAGGCTGGCACCAGTCCTACCTCAGGATGAATGAACTGGTTTTCACCAGAACTTCTTCCCAGCCAAAGTACTAATCCTCCCAACCCCCCTGGACTCGCACGGCGTGTTTGACGCTTGGGAGGGCTCACTCAAACCGGCAGCTTTGAACCGCAAGCTCCAGACTTCCCACATGGGAGGACGTCCAGCCTCCTTCGCCAGCTCTTGCGGTGGCCTCTTCTCCGGGGTCTTGGCAAGCTCCTCGGCCGTCGGAAGAAGGCCACCGGAGGGTCCAGTAGACCACGTGTCCCCACACACCTCAACGGGTGGCAGTGGAAGATGGGGACGAATCCGCCCCGGAGCGGATTCGTACGCATCGGGTGTCGAGTTCAGCGGGCTCCAAAGTGGACTGACCCTGGGACCGAACAAGACCCTCGTTTTGGGGATGGTGATCCAAAAAGCTGGATCGGGTCCGCATGCTGGGGACCCACACCAGGAGCTGCTCAAGGAACAACAAAGGAGACCTGCGCGCGGGCGCGACAGGTAGGAGGCCACTGCTCGGTGTTCCAAACCTGTTGACCTCCGTCCTCCAGTGTTTTGCCGAGCATCGTTTTCACTGGCACCCTGGCCTGGGGGCTTCGTGTTCCCTGCTAAGTGCCCCGCGTGGTGCTCTGCACGGAAGCTTCGGGCTGCTGGCGCGAAACCTGCCGGATCCAGCGGTGGATGCCCATCATCATCTGAAGGATCAAGCCCAGTAGCGCCGAGAACGGCGGGCAATCCAACGGTCCGTGGCCTCCACTTGATCTTTAAGTTCAACCTAGAAAACGCACCGCATGCATTCGTCACCGGTTAAGCAAGAAGTAACGCCTGGGGTGTGTAGCAGACTAGACCTAGGGAGACCAATATAGGCGAGTTCCGAACCCCGGGAAGCTTCGGGACATAGACCAGTCAACAGCTGGGACCGATTGGTTCGCAAGTGACCCCCCAAAAAAAACATATCATCAGGCATCAACTTGGCATCAAAGTGGGCAACATGGGCCAAGACCCCCCACGAGAGTCTCCTACAGTCCCCCCCATACACCTTTTCGCAACCTGATCTGAGCAGAGGCCTCACTGATCTCAATTCTGCAGGTCGCTGATCTCAACGCCTTCCCTCGCGGCTTGAGGTGCTTTTTCCATCCTTCCTCGACTCGGCGCTCCACCTCGCCAAACAAGCGCTTCACCTCCTCCGCTCGCGCGTCACCGCGGCTGGGTCGCCGCCCGACCTCGGCGGCCTCGAGGAGCATCGAAAGGCGGTGGCGGATCTGGGCAGTTCGTCGGTGGCGGCTTGACCGTCGGGAGTCTTGGTCCAAGGGGGCACGCTGAAGTGGGAAATGCCTCATCTCAAGAACCATTCCGCCCAACAAATCAGCTAGATCCCCCACAAACACCCAGCCTTCTCCTCAGCCACATCCACACTTGCGAGCACATCCACCGGCGCAGGGTCGCACATTTCCGGCTGATCACGCGATTCCTGCAAATACTTCCAAATGGACTGATTAACTTTGCTAAATGCCCAATAACTCCCAGTGGTGGAAAGCTCCGTTGCGCGCATGCCAGTCGTTCTAGCTTTGTCAGTATAGTCTTCCAACTTGAGTTGTGTGGCCTTGGCCGCTTTACCCAGTCAATTGCA